ACTTAATATTGTGTGAACATTTTGTTTTGCTTAGCTGTCATGCTACATTACTAATGTGATAAAATAACTAGAATATTTTATAATAATACTACGTTTCTAAATATATGTTTTTAAGATGTTTGCTATATAATTTTACACTGTTTAATTCATTGTAACATTGAACGATTTTTTCAACACGGCGGCAGCTCAGCGTTGAATTCTAAATATTACCGGCGCAACTATCTCTATTTGTTGCAATTGCATATTAATCAGCCGTTTCTAAGACGTAATTGTTGGATTCAACAGTTGCCAGCAGTTTCGTAGCTGATGAGCTAAACAGCTACGTCTTATGAACGCGCCCAATATCAAATGTAAAGGCAACCCATCTCATTTGACAGACACTTGACCCTTAACCTCGCGCGTATTTTTTTTTGTTTTTCGAACCGTTGAACCGAACCGAAACCCCGGTTCAAAGACCAAAAAAAAACGCATTGACGAACCGATCCAAAAGTGCAAAAACGGCTCGAACCGCTCAACCAAAGCGACAAAATTTTTCATCCGGTTCACGTCCCTGGTTTTTATTCCTACGACGCAATGTTAGATTTTATTTACAGTAACAATGAGTGCGTTTCACTTGTTAAAGCTAACTAGGCACTAACAGCGAAGAAATCTGTCTGATTTGTTCGCACAGCATTTCGCCACTAACGTCGCATAAATCAGATACATATAATATATAATAGATATACGTAAATTTACGCATATACAATTTTCAAATTGTGATGGCAAAAGTGTGTCATGCTGCAACGGTACCCAACGCCGGCAGTGCTTGCAGAAAGTATTTTTATGTATACAGAAATGCGAAAGCACAGCATATGTGATCAGTTGAAGGTTTCAGAGCGAGCGCAGCACAAGTTTTTGCGTAAAATATACGTATGTGGTGAACATCAAATTAAAGTTTGCTAAATCTGTGCCAATGAAATTTAATTTATTCTTTGTTTTTTCTTAAATAAAGTAAAATTGAATTTCCTTTTAAAATTTTGTACTTTATTTTAAGAATAAATAGTTTGATAAAAATTATTAATTTATTAATTAATCACTAAGTAAAATTTACGCATAATTGTTCTTAACGTAGGATGGAAGGACGTATGGTTCTAGGGTTAATCGGCGTACCGGAGGTTTGAGATGGCGATTGACGAACATATGTACAACATTAAGCGATGCATATAAATTAACGCTAGAGGTCCCATTCACATAAATGGGTACATCATTTTATATTAGTTAACGCTAACGGTACATTTAGAAATAACTATGTATTATTACGCATTTCTTTCAACTTCAACTAAAGTTTAGCGTAAAACTTAAGTTTAAACTAAAGTTTAGCGTAATATTTTAATCGTTTACTGAGTAATTGGAAAGAAATTGTTAGATTGTTTACTTTGACTCTTATTTTAAAAATAGAAAAACCAGGAAATAAATTTATTTACAGTTTAATACGTATATGATGGGATTAAAGTTCTAACAATAATACTTTTGTTTTTCAGACGGGTGGTTCGCAAAGCAATTGCAAGGGTCTACATCGTCATGCACCAGAAACAGAAGGAAAATCTCCGGAAAGTTTTTAAGAACAAGAAGTATAAGCCGTTGGACTTACGAAAAAAGAGAACTCGTGCCGTTCGCAAGGCCTTGACTCCCAGAGATGCGAATAGAAAAACTCTAAAGGAAGTTCGCAAGAGGTCCATATACCCAACAAGGAAGTATGCGGTCAAGGCATAAACACTTTAATTGGTTATAATAAACATTACAAAATAAAATACAAAGTATTTTAAATACTACTTTTAATGCCGAATTAGCTCTTTCAGTGAAATTTTTCGTAGTATTTAAAATTAACTTCTTGAATTTAGTTCTGTCGATAAACTCGGGTTTATAAAAACTGGCGTGGCAAGTATTTAATCATTTATGCAACCGCGCAGTGAGAGGGCAGGACCAGGAGGGCAGGAGTTTACTGAAAACACCTTCACATCGCTCCCCACACCAACCGACG